TAAAATTGAAATTTTGTATGGACAAGATTAAATATCTTGCGGTTACCGGTATAAGATTCTACTGACGAAATAGTAGGAGCAAGTAACACATTCGGTTGGCAAGATTCATACGTCTTCAAAACTGCTATTAAAATCAAAATCCCTATTAAATGCTACTATTTCATTAAATCGGTATCATCCTTGCCCATAAGATTAATTTAATAGGGAGTGACTAAACAAATAAAAGACTATTTTATCCTTCAAACTACATGTTAATTTTATTAGTAGTTTTTATGCATAAGTCCCTGATCAACCATCTTTGTTCTTCTAGGTTCAGGGGTTTTTATGGTAGGTGGCGACGGCTATGGTGGCGACGACATGGGGCTATGCGGTGGGTGGTTGTGGTTATGGTTGTGATGTTATTGATAGCATATTTCGAATAATTAATTGCATCTGATTTTCTAATCTTTTAAGAGATTTTGCTTAGTTTGTATTCAAATGGCAAATCTAGGTTTTCTCAATATTGGTAGGTGACAACGGTCGCGGCGACTGTGAGCGTTAGCAGCTAGGGTTGACGACGGCTGGGAGTTGTTGGCGGCTAGGGTTTGGTAGTAAAACATAGTACACCATAGTTTGCTACAGTACACCGTAGTATACCATAGTCTACTACGGACAAATAAAAAATATGTAAATTGAAAAAAAAAAAAAAAAAATTTATTTTTTTGGTAATGTTCAATATTATGTAGAATTAAAAAATAGAAGTTTTTATAGTAGATATAAATGCTAAAATGAATAATGAAAATAAAGGAAGATAAACAGATATTATGTAAAATAAACTTAAAAAATGTTAAATGCAAATATGAAATATTAAATGCATAATAAATAAAATGATAAATACAGTTTGGAATTTACTTAATGCATATTTCAAATTTGTGAGAGGAGTGACATTTTTTGAATGAATTTTATAAAGGAAGTGAAGCATATGTCTAGTTAAGCTTGTCATTTAGTTCTAATAAGTTTTGTCACTAGAGACCTATATACTATGGCCCCTTATTTCTATAAGACTATAAGTTTTATAATGGGTTTTTTTTTTTTTCACAAGTCCCTAACCAACCATCTTTATTATTCTAGGTTTAGGGGTTATATCTCTTTCACCAATAAGCTCATCCCTTTAATATTTATTATAAATAAAAGAAAAATTCATATATCTGACAAAATTACCCCTAACCCTTTACAGCCAATTCTTAAGTGTAACCCCAATTTAATCAATTTTGAACACAAAAATCTAATTTTAACTTTTCTTTTTCAAAAAATATTTTTTTCCGCCGGTCTCCGGCGTTGACTTTTATATTTTTTTCTGGTCTGTTTTATCCGCCGCCGGATTCCGACGTTGACTGCCGGTCTCCGACATTGACTTTTTTTTTCTGGTCAGTTTTTTCCGCCGCCGAATTCCGCGTTGACTTTTTTAGTGTTTTTCTTTTTTACACCCGTCGCTAAATGTTGACCGTAATTGTGCTGTCATTAACGGTAATTATACTGTCACTGACAGTAAATTAACGTCATTATACTGTCACTGACAGTACATTAACGTAATTGTACTGCCGTTGACAATACATTTATGTAATTGTACTGCCGTTGACAGTACAATTAGAGTCAATAAAAATATTTTTATTTTTTTGTTATTTTTCTAATTTTGTTTGATTTGTTGACAAATCAACGTACTTATATTATTGTCATTGACAATAAAATAACTGTGAACACAATAATATTACTGTCAACCACATCAATATTATTATTTTTTGATTTTTTTTTTGTTTGTGTTATTCACGGAGTAACGTAATAATATTACTGTCTATTATTGTAATATTACTGTAAACACAATAATATTATTGTGGTTGACTGTAATATTACTGTTGTTATAGTACTATTACTGCCAACCACATCAATATTATTATTTTTTTGGGTTTTTTTTTTGTTTTGTTTGAGTTATTCACGGAGTAACGTGATAATATTATTGTCTATTATTGTAATATTACTGTAAACACAATAATATTACTATGGTTGACGGGAATATTACTGTTGTTATAGTAATATTACTGTCAACATATTATGTTTACTTTTGTTGAACGGTCAACATATTAATATTACTCTATTACACAATAATAATGAGTTTTGTTGTGTTAATATTATTGTACTAGATATTAATATAACAATATTATTGTGTTAAACTGTAGTATAGTTAATTTTACTGTGTTTAGTAGTAATGTAGTTAATATTATTGTCAATCAAAGGAATATTGATGTTTAAACGGGGGAAAAGCTGTTAAAGGGAAAAACAAATCGAAAAAGTCAACGCCGGAAACCAGTGGCGGAAAAATCAGGAAGAAAAAATAGAAGTCAACGCAGGAGATCGGCGGTGACGGACGAAATTGTGCATAAAAATGTGTTTTTGGTCAAAATTAAATAATTTGAGAAATTTGAGGTTAAATTGAAGTCAGATTAAATTAAAGGATAAAATTGGAGCATATTAAAGTATGATGGGCTATTTTAGTCTTTTACAAACTTCTAGACCATGTGTGGACTTTTTTATGAAAGGGTTTATTGTCTGGACCTCTTTATGAATATGTACCCATTGATGGGCTTATTTGTAAAGTGCTCTTTTATAATCACTAGCATTTCTCCCCGTGCGAGTGAAAAGTCATCTATAATTTGAAGACAAATCAAAGTTACAAAGATGTCATTAGTTGTTTCGTATAAACATAAAACTAATTTTTTTTGTAAGAAAAGAGAGAGAAAATAATTAAAAAAATATATGATATAAAAAGGAGAGAAAAGTTAGTGGTGGAAGGGAAAAAAAAGAAGAAGAAAAAAGAAAAAGGAAATAATATAAAGAAACGTATTGCATAAAAAGGAATAAAATACAAATCAGTTTGTATGTGTGCTATAAAAGAGGAGAATAGAAAGGAAACAAAAAAATTAAAACTAACGTGCATTTCGAAATCCACAAAACACGGCAAAAATAAAAAATAATTGAAAAAGGAAGAAGAAACAAAAACAGGTTGTTTAAGATTGGCTATAAAAAAGGAGAAATTAAATGAAATTTTTTTTTAGAAAAACTATTTTTAGGGTTTCGGGACAAAACATTTCTTTTATATATAAACTATACACTGTAGCGTTGTGATATATGCGCTTATTGTTAAGTAATTTTCAATAATGTGTTGTGTCCCAATGTTAAGCCTTCTTGAATGGTTTAATGGGGTTACTTAATGATTTTTATAAATAAATGTATAATTGACTTTACAAATTCAACAATAAATAGATTTAAAATTTATAAAAGTACAAGGGATACATAAGACAATTCGCATAATATTTATTGTTTATGTTTTTAAATATTAAATATTTGTAATAAGGGTGTTTTAGACAATACACAAATTATTAAAAATTCAATTATTAAAAATTGCTGAGACACGTGGCGCGATTTGAGAGGCATATCTCATATGAGCTGTTTTGCTGGGTTCACACCGTAGACAAACCCTAAATAATAATCAACATGTAGGATTAATGCAATCTCATATAATCTAAACTAATCAGATATGGGTAACCGAATGAATTCTTAAGATATAGATCTCTCATGACAAAACTTACTAGAACTAAATTACAACCCAACTAAACATTTGCTTCACATTTTTTACTATATTCATTCAAAAATTGCCACTCACACGCGAAAAATAAAATATGCACCAAGTAATATTCAAAGTGCATTTATTATTTTTTATTGTGCATTTAATATTTTTTTTTTCATCTAACATTTTTGTTAAAAACAATTACTTATGACAAGTTTCTCTTCTTTTTTTTTTAGTATTTTACACTATTATAAAAACTTAATTTATTTCCACATAATATTAAAATTATGAAAATAACATAATTTTTTTTAGTTTTTTTCAACAGTAGTCATCATCTATCGACATCTATAGAAAATTGTACTTACTCAGTCATTCGTAGTTACACCATTTGAAAATCCACCCATCCATAGACACTTATAACAATCCATAGTCACTCGTAGTCATCCGCACTCATCCAAAATGGAACACTAGATCCGCTACCACTGCCGCCTGTGGAAACAGATCTCCAAAATATGCCTCTAATCCTCAAACATTTTATCATCTTCCTTTTCGTCTCACTCTCTATCTTAGCATTCCTCTCCCTCCAAACCCCACATCAAATTTCAACCACAACCAATGCCGTCGCTGCCGCTGCTGAAGAAAATCTGCCCTCTAATCTCAAGATCTAACCCGGATACTCCTCCTACGTCAAGTACCTCCAACGCCATCTCAACAAGACACTCGACCCCAAACTCCGGGAAATTTGGACCACACGCGATTGGTACCGAAAGGTTTGGGTTTTTTCCTAGTTTTTCAAGAGTCTGAAGCAGAGGGATGCAAGAGAGAGACAGAGAAAGAAAGCGAGAGAGATACAAAGAAAACAACAGAGAGTGAGAGAAAGACAGAGCGAGAGAGACCAAAGAAGAGAAATGAGTTGGAGAAACATGGATATGTACGTTACATAATTTAGGGTATAAGGATAAATTAGGAATAACAAACAATATTAAGGATATAGATTATATATTGATTCAAATAAAAGGATTTAATTAAAAGTTGGAATTTAAGGTAGTCATCTAGTACAAATTATGTTTGATTTGAGGTGCTCATGGCATATTACCCCTAATATTATTTATAGATTAAGAAAATACACTATTCACACAAAACACACAAACACACATTTCACACTCAAAACATGCATAGCCACGTTCACAAACAAGACGCAAATATACACATCTTCGGCGCGCACACACCATATTTCACCCACGCACACACACACACACACACACACACACACACACACAACACAGATTCTTTTACACCAAATCAATTGCACTTATCAAATTGCATAAAATGAAGGACACATCTCATTCCACCTCTACTTTTTGTCATTTCAATTTTTTTTTTTTTTTTTGTTAAATTATCAGAAAATTACCTCTATTAACAAATGAATAATAATATTGAGTAGAGGATGAATCCTCATTCTATTAACAAAGGAATAAGTTGAATCTAATTATATTAATTAATATCCATCACTTTCATCTTTATGAAGCTAATTTGGTTTGTCTGTATAATCAAAAACAAAATGGTACATAAATAGATACTATGATCCTTCATTTGAGGATGCGTTCAATCTTGGTCTCTATTCAACAACCTTTGCAAAAGAGAAGAGAAACACAAAAACGATTTTCGTAACGGATCACGGATTTTATGTACCTTAATAATTACGAGAATCATGATTTAGGTTTGACGAGATAAGCTAGCGTTATCTCTGCTGGGGTGGAATCAGGTACAGCTTCTTGGAAAGATACTTCAAACGTCACTGCCTGATATAAACAAACCTCATCTTCCTTACAATAGTATACCTGCAAATCAATCACATTGTTTAAATGTGTAGTAATGAAACATTTAACAGGCAAACAAACATGTCAAATAGACTGTATCTGACTAGTTTATGGTGATTTCTTAAACTCAGCAGCAAGCCCAACATATCGAACAAAAAAATTGAATAACTACTTTGGTAAAAAAAAAAAAACAGAAAAAACGAAGAATGGCATTAATTTAATATTGAAATAAAATACAAGGCACGCACCTTGCAGTAAATTCTAGTCTTAGACGATGAAGGGGAGGATCTTTTAAACTGTACAAGCGTAGATCCTTCACGGCTGATAATCCCGTCCATGGGATCAGCCGATGTCGCATTCTCTGGTTCAAATTCCACACTGAATTTACTTTGTGCTTCCTACATATAGAATTCACAAACTTAATGAGCTTCCTATATATATAATTCACAAACTTAATGAGTATATGATGAAGAAAAAAAAAGGGGAAAACACAACGATAACAAGATTAAAATGCACATCACGAGAGAGAGAGAGAGAGAGAGAGAACCTTTGAGAAATGGTAGCCTTGTGGCACGGATATATTTAGACATAGTTTGCCCTCATTGGAAGAACCTCCATCAATCATTACTGTCTCTGTGTCGGTTGAGGATCTCCTCCTAAGGCGCCTCAATGATTTTGATTTAGGGGCAGGAGGTAGGACACCTTTCAACTCCAAAGTAAGCAGTAGCGGTTCTTTCTTGTTCAGGTCCAAATACCGTATTATGCTGTTATTTGTATCGGCTACGAATAATCTTCCTGAATTCCAAGTACCCATTGGAGAACAAAGGAAAATAAATACTCTGGCAGATACCAAGTACCCATTTCATGTTTGTCATCAACTCTTTTAATACCCTAACATATTATTTATTTTGACCAGTGCATGTTTTCGGGGATTTTTTTTTTTTTGGCAGCGAGCACTAGATTCGTATAGCTCTAACTAAGTACGCAAGGAGACTAAAGAATATGGTTCCATTACCATCGTTAACTGTATACAAACAATAAGCTTATGACTTCTTTAATGAATGTAAAGATAAATCAAAATGCTAAGTGCTATATGTGCTATATGTGCTTGTTTTTATGAGGTTAATAAGCTACATCTCTTTGGCATCTATGAGCACCTTCCTAATATAAACCATCAGTAGAGTTTGTTGACTTGCCTGGAAATAAATCAAGGCTTGTCCATAAAATTGCAATTGAATACTCATATTTCACATCAGAAAACTCACAATGAAGCACGTTGTAATTGCAAATAAATAGAATAAGGATGAAAGGTGCAGCGCAAAATTACCGTTTCCCGCTTCAATAAGTCCGGAAGGCTCTGAAAGCTGCATATTTAAAGGGCATCAGGATTAATATTTCCCCTTATAGGTCAAACAAGTTAATAAATCTATTTACTTAACTTTATATTCTTACATATTTCTATAATTTAAGATTTATGTCGTGCAAAAGCAACTGTAATTTGCCACCTAAGCATTACTTTATACGATATTCTAGACCCAAATGCATCTTAGCAGTTCCCGATAGCAATTTCAGCACTTACCATATTTGTACATGTGATATAATCAAATAAATGTGCATGCTCGCAACCAATGGACACACTCGAGTAAATGCCTTGAGGTAGGTAGTGTAAGAAAACTGCAAATATCTGACAGTAAAGTAAAGGATGTTCTTCTACCTGGGCTTCTAAGGCTGCTCCATCCTTGAATCCAGCCTTTCCAGTACCTGCTAATGTACTGACTCTCTTACTAGCTAAATCCAGCTTCTTAATCTGAAATTCAAACAAGAAGACACAAGATGAAATCCAGCTTCGTATTCAATATTGTTTTACTAATTAATATTTGTGTATAACCAAACGAGACAACAATGTATAATAAATAATATCAAAAGATTCAATTGATATCCTAAATTATAAAAATAGTTCGCAATTGCTAGTAAATGGAAGTCATATATGCAATACTAAATAGAAGGCTGATAATTTATTCATATTTCTTTTACCACAAGTAGAAAGACAATTGACAGCCAGAAAATACTACAATTCAAGCCACAATTCTATTTGAAGCTAGATACTTTTTGAAAGATGCTTTCCCATAGAAATATACATCAAAATTGGGTTGTTTGGTGGCATAAAATGTCTCAAAACTTTAATAACTAAAATAATTTGTATCACTCTAATGTAAAAATTCGTATGTGACAGAGAATCCAAGATTCATTTTCCCGATGCCAGGCAGCCTCAACTGTCCTTGCCACCTCCATAACTTTTGATTATTACATCAAAAGTACCAGAAAAATGAATACGCAACAGATACTTACAAGATAAACAATTTCTACGAATTATAGAGAATGGAAGCATTGTAAAGTCCTGGTTCCCAAGCAAAAACTGCACTGCTATCATTAACATTATTACGTCAAGTACCTTGTGATTGTACGAATCCGCAAAATAAACTTGACCATCACTTCCACAAAAGACACCTAAAGGATGTTGAAGAAGTACTTCAGAACCTACTCCATCGTGGTCCCCAAACTGCAATGTCGAATACAGTCGAATGAATATTTTTTATGTCCAACTAAGAGATGGATAAGGTTTCAAATTGTACCAGACTTACCTTAAATAAATTGTCAGAGAAAATCGGATCACCACCAGCTAGGAGTCTCGATCCACCTGTTCCTAGATCAACTGCTCGAATAGAGCTACTCTCGCTATCAGCAATGTATGCTTCCTTTAAATCTAATCAAAACAAACAAGTGAAAATAATAATACATGGATTGCAATTATATAATAATAGAAGGTCACTAAGAATACACATACCAGGTGACAATGAAATTCCAGAAGGTTGAGCGAATGAAGAGCTTCCAGAACTGTATCAACATATATAAGAAAAAACAAAAATCCATAAATGGAAAACATGTAGATGTTTTTAGGAGAAATGAGTAGAGTCGCATATAAACATAAAAATAAAAATCCCACGAAGGCAAAGAAGACAAAAGACGAAGGACTAAACCAATAATGTGTTAAAGTGCACTAGCGGTCGCATGAAATTCTGAAGATGTTTAGAAGGTGTATCTTCTTCTACACGGTGTCTACTGAAAACACTTGTAACTGAAAACAAGTATATTACCTGGAGCCATTCAAATTTCTTTCATAGCCATCGCCACTAAAAACTCTAGTAGTTCCGTCTACTGTATTATGCTTCCAAATCTGATGCTGGCCAGCCATTGCAATGTAAACAATTTCATTTGCAGGCTCAAAGCAGACATCCCATGGGGAATTCAGGAGCTGAAAATAACATAAGAGAACATCAAGTTACATATTGAATCTTATCAGTGTCTGAGTACATCCTGTTAATTGTTTTCCTATCGCATCAATAATATTATATTACTAACTGCATAAATAACAGTATCCACGATATTAACTGCCCGTAAATAATTTTATGTTGATGTAAAAATCTTGCCTGAGTTGTTCCTGATCCTCCTCCTTGGTAGTCAGAACCTTTGGTTCCGTTTCCAGCAAGTGTTCGCACAGTCTCATCGACAAAATCAACCACCCTACAATAGTGCACGTTTTCAGATGCAGGATATTTACAAAGTTTGCTATGAGCAAAACTAACTAGTAACCTTAGAAAATCATAAAGAATGATCAACTCACTAGTATAAAAGCAAAACATCTATATAAATTTAGCAAATTCAACACCAGTGCTATTATCAGGAAGACAAAATTGGAAACAAAATAATTTAACCAGAATAAAAAAGAAAATTAGATGAAAAACAAAAGCACATGCCCCAGCCACTGCTACCTTAGAGCATGATTTTCAGTGTCGGCTACATATAGGAGGTTTTTCTTTGCGTTATAAGCAAGTCCCTGCAAAACCAATCAGTACATACATTATATCTTTAAGAATGTAAAAGAAAATATTTTAATGCAAAAAATCACGAAGCAATTATTTCTAAGAGAATAACAGTGCACTGATATCAGAAAGAGTAATGAAAATAATTACTTGTGGGCGGTTGAACATGGCATCCTCAAAGTTACCATCACGAAGACCCTCTTCTCCGCTGCTTCCAATTTGCATTTTGAAGTTACCATCAAGGTCAGTGACTACCTGCGTACAACCAATAAGCTAATGAGTACACTTTGGTCAAAATACATTTTTCGACAAGCATTTACAGAGAATGTAGAACGACAACACAAATAGTGACACGAGTGTCTATCTTAGTAAAACGATAAGCTATGGATGTTATAATTAATCATCACTAGCGAATCCGGACAAAGTTGAAGTATAATTAAGCATTACGAAAATTGATACAAACAGAGTAATATCAAAACAAACGATCCAATTATGAGATGAGTGTGCATGAATATTCTATTACACTGAGACATGATTGGAAGAACTTACTATGCGATTGTGGTTGCTGTCAGAAATGAACAGTCGGTTGTTGAGAACATCAACCTCCAGCTTACCAGGAAATTTCAAAGGAGATGTCAATAATCGAGGATCAGTGTCTTTCTCCAAATTCAAGGGAATAGGTGTGCTGTCCAATACATTCTTTCCACCATAATACGATAATGCTGCCTCAACCAAATCATCAAGATCCTAGGAAAGAGAAGTGTGCAGAGAAGTCACTTCAGCATTATGAGTCAATGACCCCATTACATATTCTATGAATAATAGCTAGTTCAGAGTTGTAACTTGACCTAAATTCAGACATAACGAGAACAATGTTTTATATAGGAACAAGGGCAGCATGTAGCCTCGTATAAACAAATTGTAATTTCTAATGGGATGAATAGAGCTAAATGATTATTCGACATCAGAGAAATGAAACTCGGGGATTAGTATTTTAACTAGTTCAATAGAAAAATGAAATAAATGAAAGCAGAATGTGGGCAGTCCAAGCATTGTGTCATGGAATTGAATAGTTTTACTCACTAAAAGAAGTAAAATAAATGAAGCGGGATGATCATTTGAAAATAACATATATGGTCAGAGATTATGTGGCATAATCTAAGAAGAAAAAATATATAAAGTTGAAAACTAGACAGTGTAAACAAATATGACATTGCAACTAAACTCAACAGAACTCAATCACTTCTATAGTTCTCTTGAAACAAAACTGTCCATGGAAACATACAATATATAGTAAATAGCACAGACGTAATGTATAACTTCCACTTCCCTTCTCATCTATATGTAATGAAACCCAATAAAGAAATTTTACACGTAACGAACTTATCAGATGCTGAAACGTTATAACTGAACTAATTTCCTTGTACGTCAACAGTCATCACAAAGTTCTTCAATATTTTAGCTAATATATCAGTGGAGAAATCAGTACCTTGCGGCGACCTTCACCAGATACTTGTGTTATAAGCTTGCCGTTTGGTCCGACGAGGGCAAATGTAGGCCATGAACTTATACCCAACTCTCTCCACAAATACATATCACCATCATTCACAACCTGGTATTTTTCACAATAAGCCTTCAGTCATAAACTCAACAGGTTATTGGACCTCACATAAAGCAGCAGTAATAAACACACACACACACACACGCACACATACAGATTCTATTGTGCACATGCATGAGCATGTGTGTATAAGTACGACTAACATATGTATATATGACTATAAGACCATCTCCCATACTCTATATGTTGGTGAAAAAAACAGCAAATAAATGAAGTTGAATCACGAATTAGATAGAGACTTGCAGATTGCAATGTCCTTTAGACCGAATTACCAGGATACAACTATCTTAATCCAAAGAATTACCACTAAAACATTGAATTCTACTTTGAACGCGCACAATGTTTTCTCTCTTGTAGGATTTGAATTTTCATTAGTTAAAATGAAACAGAATATCTCATATAAATAGAAATAACAAAAAGGTGTGAATCTGACGGACACAACTGTTGGAATTAAACCGATACTTGAATAGTTACAACTCTTGGACGTATCTTTTGGAAACTAACTGAAATTCCAAAGCTCGCAACTCTTGGCAGTGCTACTCAATACGGGCTTTTCCAAACTATATCCTAATTTTGAACAATAAAAAATTATTACTACATCAAATTAAGGATCGGTTAACTGCAAGAACTAACCGGATGAGTGATTCCATAGCGTAAAACTGCATTCCGAATGGCGTCCAAGTCTTTCTCATTGTCAAATTTTGCAGAATGCACTCCTACAACAACAAACTGCAATAACCAAATGTTAATCGATTGAAATGTTTAGATTGCACATGTTACATTCGAGTTGAAAGTAAAATAGTATATCATCGTGGGATCTTTCCCCGATACAAGCATATAAGAAATTGCACTTTTGAGCCAATCCTATGCAATGACGGTGTATTTTTCTCATTATAAACTTCTATTGTTCATGCTTCTATTTTTCACATCAAATAAACATATCCGAAAAATTCTTATATAATATTATCTGCTCTTCATGGGAATTTGCCCGGTTCTATTCATTCCATGATACTAAAGTAATACATTTAAACAAACTGCTACTTTTCGTTCTCAATACAATTTGTTTCAAATTCATAAAATTTTCACTGAATGGTTCTTGATTATCCGTTATCGTGGAATACGAAAGTCAGAAGTTCTCAGATTTTACACAAGCCACGCGTATTCCTTCTCATTTCCAAACAAATATCTACTTGTTGCCATGAACCTTTCATAACCCAGACAGAATAAAGGCCCCTGAATAAAGAGTTATTGTTCTTGATTAATCAACATTTCATCTTTTTACAAGTCATGATTTTTTATCTTCGTAATCAAATCATGGTCCAAATTAGAAATCCAGAATTTCCTTCAACATTAACATATTGGAAGATTTAAGAAATGTTCCATCTCAATACAGCTTTGAGACAGCTAGCATGGAATGAAGAACAGCAGTACTGGGGAAAGAAGGGGAAAAAAAAAAAGGCATGTACAAAATAGGTGAGATTTCATCTTTGCAACTGAAAAATTGAACTAAAAATCAAATTCAAAGAAACATAAAAAATAGCAAAAAATTGGTTGATGTGATTATCATCCTTCAAGTGAAATTTTATTTTATTTAGCACTACACTGGGCCGATGGAATAGAAGGATTGTTGCAACTGCTCGTTAGAGCAATACACTTCTCCTCGAATGTTCAATCACAGCTCAATCTTACAGGCTATGTTTCTTATTCTGCTATGGGTGTTATTTTTTAAATCATTCGCGACCATGCACTAGAAGCCTCCACACTTTTCGATTTCCTTTCATCAGATTATATATAACCCGTACAGAATGAGGGACCCATGTTACAATAAAAACAAGAACGTAGGCATGCATGTATATGATTTTCTCATTGCCAAAGAAAATGCATTTGAAACCAAATGCAAAGAATCACAAAGATCTCTGTGCTGAATACCACGTGGTCATTATAATTACAATAATATCACTGTTAGAAAGAGCTGTTGGAAAGTATGCCCAAGTTAATTTCCAGAGTAACAAGTTTCTGCAATTATAAACTTTATCCTAATATCTGAAGGTACTGCTGTAACAATTGTAGAATTAATAACAAGCAAAGACAACAGGAGAAACAGGATCTTACCGGCATATCTTTATACTTCTTCTCAAGATAATCTAGGTCTGGTAACACATGCATGCAATTTATACAGCAATAGGTCCAGAAATCAAGAAGAACCACTTTTCCTTTCAAATCCTGTCCAATAAGAGAATTTGTCAGAAACGGCATCATATTTTGAATCTTATCATGCTTATACTGTTTTGGATGATGTATGCACACCATTTGGTACATAGATTTTAACAAATCCTGTTTTCGTATAAGAACTAAACGACCAATAGAGATAAGTAAGACCAAAAGAAATCAGTACTCATACTGCCAGCAGTGTTGGTCTTCATGGATTAATCTATGCCGTCAAATGTTTAATAGATGAGCATAAAAGGATACCAACTTTACTATCTGCATAATTATGTCATGGAAAAGTATACCAGACAACGAGATTTCAGATGTTTGGTACAATTCTAGATTGAATAGAGGCACATGAAATTTAGAGAAATAAGTTCTATGTCAAACAGAATATGGATGGTGGGATGTGGATTAAATTTAACATATTAGCACATCAAATATTACAATCAGGATTTACCCTGCGCAGCTGAAGAGGAGCTGTGTTGAGCCAGTCAAGTTTAGATGGAAACTCTGGAACAGTTGTTCCGGTACCCCTTGATCACACAGAGTAGGAGGAGACATCATATAAGTTTTTAAAAAAATTAAAAAATATATATATAAAGCCACAACTAATTAGAGGTTTACATCATTGACATGTAACAAATAAAGAGAGTATATGAATTACACCTTTTCTCCAAATCGGATATGTAGTTCACAAACAGTTGGACTCTCTCATTACGAGATCCTTCTGCAAATCACCAAAAAGGCAAGAGAATTCAAATTTTAATTTCTTCCTCACTTGATCAGCAGCAAATTTCATGCAATAACATGCACTGGGTTGTCAATCAAACTACTGAACAACGAGTGAATGAAATTTAAATAGAAGAAACTGGGAATGATAAGTAAGATGGACAAAATTAATCATTACAGTACAGTGCAACAGTTGACAATAAGTATGTTGATGATAGACCTCCTGGTCCAAAAGGAGTGCTAGCCCCGAAAAACAAATTCCATATAGCTTTTGGAGATGTATATTGCATGGCCTACAAATACAGGTGATCATCCAGTCATACATCCACTGTTAAACTAAATGAAGGAACGGTGAACTTAAACTTAAGTTCCAAGTTGCATCACAGAACGGTAATATACTTTCCAGTTTGAGGCGGTGAAGAGAAGGCAAGAAACAGCAATTCCCAAGCTTCCATACCTCACAATATCTCGTCGAGAACCCTGAAACCTGTCAACAAATCATATCTGCAATTCAAGGATTATTGGTTGGATGTCCTTGTTACACTTCTGAGAGCATTTACTAGAAAATAAAGTATGGGTTTGTTAGAAGATATGTAGGAGTCTATTTTAGTTACGAGATCTGAGGAAGAGTCTATTTAAGAAAGTCCATCACCCAGAATTGGCATTTCAACAATTGATTACATCATTTTTAGAGCTTTCTACTACACATAGAAGTAAATAAAAACTTAACAAAAAGGGGAATAGAAAACGACATTGCAACCTCATGCATGTGCACGAAACTAGTTAAATATTTGAGTTTCGGTACCTCTGAATGTTAAACCACTCATGGCGCTTATTAGATGAATACAATTAGAGATTTGATTGCAATCTCTTTGGCCATCTTAGGGTTGAACTCTGAAATGTGCATCCATAAATCATACAGAAAGGAAAAGGTATGGACGATGGAAAGTCAAAGCAGTACATCGAAGGTCATAGAAGAATTAAATACTACCGTAACATTACCCACGTTTACTTGCATATCCTATTTTCCTATTTCTATTGTTGTCTGAAAGAACATGAGAACGTTCCGCTGAAAATTCAGCATCACGTGAAAGTAATAGAAGTTATAGTGACTTCAAAGTAGTAATCTAGTCAATTAACAAAGAGTTAGTCCAACTTGTTTTTGGCATATAGTCAGTCATATACCCACTTTTATAAAACTTTTGCAGGAGAGTAAGTAACTGTTTTCCTTATATTTGGCATTATATTTATTATTCTTGAGCACAAAAACTTGCTAGTAGTATTTCAAAAGTTCAGTTTCTCGTGCGGTTAAATGAAGTTTTACCCCTAGTATACATTCATCAAAGTGATGGAACTCACAGTAATGTTTAGTATGTATAGAGTTTCTTGAGATTGATTGATCAGAAAGTATCTTCCTACTTAAAACTCAATTTTTATGTGGTTTATCTTTTACTTCTTCCAACTTAATAATAAATTGGTAAATAGTTGTTCAAAATGACTATTAATAATGTTATCCTTAGTAACTTCACGATTTGTCTCCCTATACGAGATTGTACAATAGAATGATTAAACTTATTTCTGCAATCAATTTCTTGACCACAATATGATACTTAAAGATATCTGAACTACTTTGGATTGACAACAATTCCTGCCACCATACCTTTGAGAAAGGTTATCTGAATTAAAGTTATGGTCTAATAATATTGAACATTTTATAATGAGGAAGAGAAGTGGAGAAAATAAAAGGTTATTTATAGATAAGAAGAATGAGCCATTATTTTTTAACACGAGAATTTATCATGAAAGAATCATCCTTACCCTCCAACTGAGAAGTCTGCCGTAGAATCTTTATCCTGAAACGATTTAATTTGCTTACTGGTTGAATTGGGCAGAGTTTGTGAAGAAGCACTAGTAGATTGAGAAGACAGCTCAGGATCTGCAATATTTTCTCATCATCAGATATTATTTAAATCAACTACCTAAACACAAAGGCACTAGGAGCTTTCAAACTAGCTAACAAAAAGAAGAAAACAAAAAAAAAGCCGAAAGCTAGGGCAAGAAAAGATTATTGTAGGAAACAAAATCTCAATTCATTACAACAGAAATGATCTTTATAGTATACACTCATACAAGAAAAAGAATCCTTAGTTTTGCTTTGAAGTCTTATACAAAAGGAGTCTGCACGGAGTACATTAAAATAGTAATGCAAAAAGGCACTCTTAAGTGTACTTCTGTAACTACATACTATGGTAAACAGAGCCACCAGTGAGAATATCATCAAGGGAAATATCTCCTATCTCCTTTCTGACAAGTGATGGACCAGCTGCTGTCAAAGTTTCTTCTCCTAACGTTGTTGTTACAGCTATGCATCTGCAATGGAAGCACAGCAAAATGAGTAAGAACTATGGAATTGCCAAATATCGAGATAGATGATAGGAGAGAAAATGGATGGAGCAATACACATAATCATTGAAATAACAAGTAGTAAAATAAAAAAACGCCAAAGCAAAGGGAATGAGAGGACTAATCAGGGGAAAGTCACAACTTCAAAATGCACAGATGGTAACAATTATCGTGCTCAATTTTTCATTTCTCAAACATAAAACAGTACCTCATATTAAGTTTTATAAAACATATGAATGATATAGAGTCCAACCTCAAACCCTTTTACTACACAATCCTATGAAGGAAATACAACGGTTATATAATTATAAATCCCAAACATAAAATAATCACATATTACATTATCGTGGACAATGTAATCCTATCAAATTCAATCGATATTATTTATCCCATCAACATTCCCAAACGAGGCCAAATAGTACTACCTCATATTAGCTGATTTTGCAGCTTGCACTCCAGCCAATGCATCTTCAATCACAATGCACTACATGAATAACAGAGCATCAGAGTAAGTTCAGGTTCTCTGCATACCTTATGCTTTGCTTTCACAAAATATGGCTTCCCACCGCGTTCTAAAAGAACAATTCTCCAAGCATAGATGACCACGTAACAGGTAAAAGACGAATATATGACATTATGAAAGAAAATTTATACATATTATATATATGAGATGCTCCAGTTTGTGGAAGGCAATATCTATTTAATTGGCAACCTCACAACAAAAGACCATCGAACTATACCTCAGCACTTATGCCTCGAATATATGAGTGGAAAAAAAAAAACACAAACAACAACCAGAAATCAAATTTCTAAAAGATACCTCATTTGTGGGCACATCTAAAATTTTTGATGCAGCTAAGAAAATGTCAGGAGCAGGTTTCAAGTTTTCAAATGCATCCGCAGATACAATAGCATCAAACCTGTTAATATAACACAAAAGTACCACAATAAAATTAGGAGAGCTAAAAAAGAGTTTAAAGATTTAGAAAATTAAAAGTATTACATGACTTGATGAACATACCGACAGTTCCCATAAGTGAAATCAGTTAACTTTCTCATCATTTTTTTATTGGATACACAAAAATGTGGAAAGTAAAAAATAAAAATTAGTGATATTACTTCAACGATGACATAGAATTCAGTGTAAATGAACTCACATTGAAAGCTGCAAACCAGCAGCTGCTAAATTGGCATCAACCTTAATACGATCAGCACTAGATGCAACAGCCACTTTGAGGCCTTTGTTTTTACACTGTTGCGCATCAGACATTAGAATCAATAGCATTTATGATACTGGAAAAGGGCAACCACAGTACTCGCTTGCTAGCATACCTGTACTATAAGTTCATACGCACCAGGGAAACCTATCCCAGAACTTGGCTTCGCATACTACACGAGGTGGATAAGTTCAAGGAGTCAAGCAGATCTTTTAACATTGCGAAATAATATACAAAAAAAATTGTGCAAAATCATTGTTCAAATCACCTTGTCCAGATAGATTTCGAAAAATCTCTTCTTTGCCGCCTCCGGATTAAATCCCTTCACACCCTTTACAGAAGCAACACCTCCTAAAAATTTGGCTTCACCTGATTCATATTGAGGGAGAACATAGATAGTTAGGGAAGGAAGAGGCACTTGTTGCTAGTGACGGTGAAAACCATTAAAACTAAGATCACGTCAGTAAGTAAAAATCAAACTAGCCATCACAAGACTCTCACACATGGTTGATGGTAGGATTTTAAAAAAAGAATATTCAAGCTACCTTGCTAAAAGTTAAAAGGGTTGGCATATTGATGAATAGTTCTTGGGAATCACGATACAAATTGAACTTTTGACAATTTAATTTGTTGGTAAGAACTATTCCAGCTAAGAATAACTCAGTAATGGAATAGGGGGGCTTTTCTCATCATCAGGGATTATTCCATCCGTTAGTTAGCTTGGATAATACATGTGCAAGCTGCATGATTTTGAAAGGAAAACAAGCAACTATAGTCCAGCAAACTGCATGGCTATGACATACAAGAAAAACTTTCGATAAAAACTTTGAGGTAAATATCATCTTAGGTTTTAGAAACCAAACTAATCTACATGCGCTTGACTTTGATTATATATGACCACAGTTTGCCTGCTAAAGCCCTTTTACGTAGAACTCTAAGCTCAGGCTGGAGTGCTTATATTCATCAAGCTAATAAGCGTGGAGCTTCTACATAAATTTTTAAATACGCAGATTTCATTTCACCAGTTCTCTTACATCAGCAAGATCCATAGTCGTTTCATCTAGGTAAGTGCATTCAGGAGTGCCACCCAAAATTAACGAATCGACATTTCAGGCTAATCAACCCAAGCAGACAAGGCTCTCGTCCAACAAATGAGAGATTTCAACGAAAACGGCGAAGAATGGACTTCCCGATTGAAATGGTAGAAAGTGCATCTCCAGCCTAAAAACTAAAAGTAAGAGGGATAAGGAGTAACGACTAAGATCCTCCTTCAAAAAAAATGGTCACTTAAAGAAATGGTCACTCAAAAAACGACTTAGTAGCATTGTTATCCCTAATATGACTCTCTAAGACAGAAAGATGCAGCTACAGTTAAACCTCTATAAAATAATACAGTCGGGACTAGGGAAATTCTCACTAACTTAGCGAATTATTAAATTATCGAGTTAATAATTTAACACGTTTTCACCGAGTCGTGGACGAGAGAACTATTATTTAATCGAGGTTATTAATTTATCGAGGTTCTAGTGTATTTCACTAGAAGATTTCTTAACTCTGTTGATCTCTCCTAAACTTAACAAAACATACAAATTAGATAATCCCCAACAATAAAATCCAAAATTAAGGATTATAATCTGAAAATAAATAAAATGTGAAATCGCAGAAAATTCCTAGAAAAAAATATTGAGCAATAAGCACACTGAGAGATGAAGAGCATAAATAAAATTGCCAACATAGGGGAAGATATTTATAGATATACCTGTGCCCATGAAAGGAATAAAATCCTGAACGGCGACTTGAACCCCCATCTCGGCAAAAACATCGACGGCGGCCAATCTCGAAAGGTCTTCGCTGTTACACAGAACTCCGTCCATATCAAAAAGGACCGCCGAGACCTTCCCCCACTCTTTGTCTGTTTCCGGTGCATTTTTCTCTTCCAATTTCACGCACGCCTTCACCGTTTTGCCTCCAATTCTGCTCCTCCCGGAGAAAATCAACCGTTTGCCTTGCGCCGGCGGCCACTGGTTGTCGAGAAACCTCGATTTGGAGCTCGAGAAAAACAGGTTTCTGGAGTGGATTCTGGAAGAACAGATTGAAGAAAGCGTGGGTAGTGGTGGTCTTAGTGCCATTGTTTGGGTGTGTGATTTGCTGAAACAAAGTTTTGATTATTTGGGTTTATGGTGAGTGGCGGGGAAAGAAGGTGAATAATTTTGGATATGTGAGGGAGCCCACATTAAGCCTCCAAACGGCGACGTTTCATAAAGGGGCAAGGCACAACTAATTAATAAAATCGCACTTCTTATTTTCAGCGTTTCTTCTTGCCAGTGAGTTACTGACACGTGGCTGGCAACCTTGTGCTATGAATAGAGGAAGAAGGGGTTATGTTTTATTTGTGACGAGAAATTCACATTTGGGCACAAATACAAAAGGTTATTCATGATCATTGCAGTGGATAACATACCTGACACAGAGCAAGAGAAATAAGTGGAATCTCCACCTGAAGATAGTGAGCACGAGTTGTATAAGATTTCAGTGTATGCTCTAGTAGGGCAAGAGACAACTAGCACTATTAAGCTGCAAGGAAGAGTTAACACCTATACTATCACTATATTGGTTGATATATACTAGTAGTACTCTAGAGAGCTCAAGTGCCTGGTAGAGAGGTCAAATTCCATGAAACTGATAGTGGTAGATGGTTGAAAAATTAGCAGTGATGGTAAATGCGATGAAAGCTATCACTGATGCACTCACTTATGAGGACAGGAAAAGTGATGATGAACTGCATATTCATGCTAGCTGGTACAACCAATACTAGACCAGTTCAAGGATATCTTCCGAGAGCCAATCTCTTTACCACCTGAGAAAGGTCATGATCGAACATCCTATTGTCATTAAACCAGGTGTTGATACTTTTAAAATGGTTCCATACATACAAAGAAGATAGATTGAAAAGATGGTGGATGAGATGCCCTTTCTCTTCTCCAATCGTATTAGTAAAAAAAAAAGGTGGCACATCGAGGTTTTGTGTGAATTATAGGAAACTCAATGCCATCACGGTTAAATATAGCTACCCAATTCTTATTACTGGTGATCTCCTTGATGAGTTACAAGGGGCAACTATTTTCTCCAAGATAGATTTGAAGGCTGGGATACCATCGAATAAGGGAAAAGAGTGAAGACATACACAAGACTGCCTTTGTCACAGCCTCTTGCCACTATGAGTTTAAAGTGATGCCCTTTATATTGACAAATGCACCCGCTACATTTCAGTCCCTCATGAATGACATTTTCAGAGTTCGGGTATTTCATATTGATTTTTCTTTTTCTTTTTTATGATATTCTAATATGCAACAAAACTACAGAAGATCAACAAAACTACGGAAGACCACTTTAACCATCTCCAAATTACTTTGAGTATTCTGAGGCAACACCAATTATATGCAAAATATTCCAAGTGCAACTTAGGCCAATCCTCAGTAGACTACTTGGGTCATGTAATCTCTCAAGAGGGAGTCCGGATAGACATTAACAAGATTAGAGGAGTGCAGTTATGGCCAATACCAAAGACTTGGAAATAACTGAGAGGCTTTCTTGGTTTAATTGGATACTACAGAAAATTTGCAAGTCATTATGGGATTATTGCCAAGCCATTGACTGATTTGCTGAAGACGGGTTAGTTTAATTGGTCCAAGTCTGCTGATGAGGCTTTTACGGCCTTGAAAACTGCTATGGTCGATACTCCAGTTGTTTATTTGTCTGACTTTTCCAAAGTGTTCATTCTGGAAAATCATTCACGTTATTATGGAATAGAAGTTGTGTTGATGCAAGACGGTCATCCACTTTCTTATCTTAATAAGCATTGGTCCAAAGAATTTGGGTTTGTCTATGAGAAAGAATTCTTAGCTATTCTCTTGGCATTTCAAAAGTGGAGAGTCTATTTGTTACATAAGACTTTTATCTTAAGGACCAACCAACACAATTTGAAATACTTGTTGGAGCAAAAGATTTCTACACCCTTACAACACAAGTATTTGGCAATGTTTCTTGGCTTCAGTTGTAGGATTGAGTACACAAAGGGCATTGAGAATAAACCAGTTGATGCACTTTCTAGAAGGACACATGAGCCTTCTTTACAAGCTATCAATGTGGCTCACTGAGTTCCAGCAAAGTTATGTTGAGGATGAATTATTTCAGTATAAAAAATTATACATATTAGGACCAAACGCACTTCGCCCCCTAGATATTTTCCATTTTCGCACGTTCCACTATGAAAATTTAAAATAGACAAGCCCCTTTAAAATACTTGATTGGTTGCACTTTGCCCAAAAAACTATTTTCGATGGATTTTTTGTCGGAATCAACATTTTCTGGTCTTCGTAGGCGGTATATTCGTCCTCTTGAGGTATATATGTTATTTTACATTGCCCATTTGAAATCCCCAATTTGATTTTATTGTTATAACTCACGAAATGCAAAGTTAGGTAAGATTTTTCTTTCCAAAATCAATTCTCTTTTCCAAATGTGAAATATTGATCTATTGTGAAAGGCCAAGGAATTATACAAACTAAGATTATTAATCTTTCACATTGGGTTTTCTATTGTCTATTTTCTAGGGGTGTTTTGTTTTCTTCCAAACTGCGCTATTGGGACGCCCGTTTTGGGCATGGGATTGGGGGTTCAGACGCCCGTTTTGAGCGTGGGTTAGAAATTGACTTTCTATCTTCAGCCATGGATCCCTTACTCATACTTATTCAATTGGAAGTAGGGGAGCGGACACCCGATTTGGGCGTTGGGTAAGGGGAGCGGACAGTCAGGTCGGACATGGAAATAACCGGTTTGACTGGACCGGTTGTCCGATCGTTGTTTGGCTGAATCGGTCGACCGCTGATTTTTTTTTCTTAATAGAGTTAGTTTATTTCAATTTAATTTATTTAACTTTTTAAATAGTATTTTTGTTTAATTAATTACTTGATTAATGAAATTGTATAGTTGATTTTGTAGATGTCGACACGTTTCGGATTCGGAATAGGAAAGGGACTCATGACTCGTGCCATACGGACATACGAATATGTCGAACATGAGACATCGGCAGATGAGACTACTGCACACGAGGAATTAGAAGATGAGACTAATGTACAACGAGAGGGGACACACAAGCGTAAGGTTACTAGATCAACACAATGAGGCGAAAGCAATTTGCGACCGGTGGAGTCAGAGCCACATGTGGATCCATCGCATGATGAGGACGATGATACACATGTAGATTTTCACTCCCAATATATTTATCCGGGGCCATATTTTTTATTATATGGTAATGACGATGACGATGATGATGGCGATGACAATTCTGCATCCTCGACTGCTTTGACTGGTGCTGCTGCTACTTCATTAGACATATTATTATGGCGCTCCCAACGGAAAGAAAGGAAAGAAAGCTTGTATCGTATAAAGTACGTTACGAGCCCAACGGCCAGGCATGGAGTATCCAATATGTTCACATGCTTGATCGGGCTTACTACGGTCGGTGAGCTTGTCCAACTTGGGAGATGGCTACCGATTAATTGGATTGGTATAGACCTCGTACCAAGTTTTTATTTGTCCACCCGTAGCCTGTTTTTTTTCATTTTCACCTTTTTTATTGTATAATTGTCTCGAATTCATATCCTCTGCCAAGTTCTACTCTTTCAAATGTATTAAAATCTTTTTTGGTGGCACATGAATTTTTGCCAACATTCAAGTAAGGTTCACCTTCTCTTGAGTCATATTACTAGACTCATGCCCCATAAATATATGGGATCATGATTATGCTTTCTCATATAATATTTTAAGCTCTCATCTATCCTCGTAGTGTTCTGCTCCCACCAAGTAAAGTTTACAGTGATATTTTATTGTGCCATGCCATCTCTTATTTTTCATATCTATTTTCGTTGAAGTTACTCGCTCCTCCCCCAAAATAAATGAAAAAGTAAGATATATTCTATTTTTAGAACTACGACACTTCACCAACTTCACCTCTAGGTCCTTGGCGGCCGCGGTCCTTGGCGGCCGCTCTCGCACAATCTATCAACTCACTCTTGAGTTAAATAGTTCTGTTACTACAAAATACTCACTATGATCAACTTTAAATGTAGATGAATTTTCTTGCTCTTCCTAAAAAAAATTATGAAATAAAATAAAGTTAAGGTAGTATCATGATAAATAATAATAATAAAAAAAACCCGGACAGAGGTTGTCGGCGCCCAAACCATTTTACACGCCCAAAATGGGCGTGGATCGAACTTGTACTCGCCCATTTTGGGCTGTAAAATGGTTTAGGCCGCCCATTTTGGTCTTCAGTCACCTTTTTCCGGATTTATAAAACAAAAACGAACAAATTTTACCTCATTGTATTGTGTATCCTGATCCTCATCCGATGTACTAATTTTTCTTTGTAAATCGCTCCAACAAGATGGGTTTCGGGACAAGATGAGAGGTTTTTTTTCCCTAGGGAGATGAAGGGAGTGTAGAGAGTGAATTATTGCAAACCGTATTCGTAAAATGATACCGCGTTTACCAAGTCCCTGTATGATATGTAGTTTATACATGAAGTTGGACCCTTTTCTTATAGAGTAAAGCGAGCTTCATATTTTCAAGGGTAAATTACAACCACCTCATTAGGTATGGTCAAATTACGAAAACACCCCTCATGTTTGGGTAATTACAATTACCCCTCAACTATAAATCTTCTTACACGTCCACCCTTGCGGTTTCAAATTTAGTGGAATAGTCGAGATTATATGGAATATTATCACTTTTGTACCCTTTTTATCCCGTTCGAACTCCACATTTTGAAGCAAGATGATCATAATATGTGTTTTTTAGCTTGTATATATCAGATTGTAGTGCATTAGAAACTGTATTTTTACACAAAACGAGTACGAACTAGAGCACATTCCACGAAATCTAGATGATTATGTTGAGTTTGACACCATATGGGTGTAGGTGTAAGAAAAAATTGCAATTGAAGGGACGGTTATAATTATTAAACAGGAGGGGACTTTTCGTAAATTGACCCATGTGGTTGTAATTTACCCTATTTTCAAATTGAGCTCCAATAGGAAAAAGGAAAAAAAAAAAAGAAAAATAAAATAAAATAATAAAGGTCCATATTCAGTCGCAGAAAATAGGCACATTTCCTCGTTCAAGCAGCTTCATTTCTACACCGACTCCCACCATCAACCGTTCGTCTGACCCACCAAACTGTCTGCATTCTGCCGCAAGCCACCCACCGGCACCGTCGAGCTCAACCGTCACACAAAGTTCTCTTTCCATCAACCCAAATTGGCCGATTGATTTTGAATTGATAGAGTTGTAAATTCCAAATCTCAAACTTTTAATATAACCGCCAGGTAATTTTTTATCGTTTCAGTTAATTTCTCCTTTTGGTAAGTAGTAAGTATGTGTGTGAAGATAAACCAGAATGGTGGGTTCGGCATGGTAATGACATTAGTTTGTTTTAATTTATTGAAACAGCAGACGCATTCATCTTGTTCGATGAAATGTCTCAGTCAATTTTTGTTTTTGTGAATTGTGGAGGCGGAGAGAATGAGAGATGATATTTCCTATTTTTGAAATGCACCACATCGTTTTGGTATTCGGTTGCAGAATGCGATTTCTTCCCACATCAAATTAATCTTTAGTTGTGCTGCTTCTAATGTTGAAAACGTGAAAACTTTGTTTATGTTGTTTAAATAGGCTTACACTCTTAGAAAATTTGTTAATACCATTGTCGATGCAATACTATATATCTTCCTAAATCACAACACTCATTTGACAGGAAAAGCAGATTGCTGTCGAAAAAAAAAGTTGAATCCTCTCACTTCATGCGAGTAGATACTGCCTAAAGATTCACTATCCGCCATCCTCAATGATCAGCACCAATGGATTAATTACCCATTGGTGATATTTGTTTCTCGTTGCCGACTTCTCTTGGTAACTGTTCTCTCTCAGTCATTTTACAAGTACCCTTATTCATCTATTTATGCATGGAGTGGTTAAAATTTGGATCTTTTATGTGTTCCTATCAGTTCATCAAGTTCGTTGTTATCAGAGGCATTTCGTCGAGCACGTTGTGTGTATAACAACTTGACGCCATGGATGGTAAGTGAGATTTTGTTTTACACTCCCTTTTATTGTTATAATGTCAACTTAATCTTTACTGGGAGCTCCATGCAATGTTAAAAGGATCAGAACTGTTTACGTTAGCTTGTCGAAATGTGTCGTTTTGTTTTGAGAATAAGATGTGAGATGTGCTCAACTTGGAAGACATAATTCTGTAGCCGAATCGGTTTCCAAATTTCTTATCCATTTTTTATTTATTTAAATGTATTTGTGGGTTCAGTGGATTCAAAGCCTTCCATGGAGGAAACTATTTTGGTGGGGGATGATCTGATGATGGGACCCCCCTCACCCATTATTCCACCTGAAATAGCGTCTCACGTGCTCGAAGGTGTTGATTTGTGTGATGGGATGTTGCGGAATCTATTTCTATGTAAAGTCTCGGCTCCTTTGACCTTTTCCCTTTTCGTTTGTCTTCAAGTTTGAATACTAACCTTAGTTTTGGAATGGTCAATGTTCGTCCATTTTCATTGGTTATGTATCACAGGCTTACAGATTAATGATATTGAGCCATTCTGTCAAGACGAGATTGCCTTGTATCGGCAGTGCGCAGAGAGGAGGGTGAGTTATGACGATCAATTATATGCCTATATTTTTCTCTCTTGTATAGTTTCTTGCTCTACCGTTTTATGAAGTAATGTCGATTTTGCAGGATAAGGAACTTAGAGAACGGCTTCAAGATAGTGAGCGGCGATTAGGGATGTCTATGCCTTTAGAGCTAGCAACTGAAAGAACTAAGCAATTGGAATCAGAAGCAACATCGTTGGAGAGGTATGCTGATCAACCGCTATTAATAATTTAATAGGGTAAATTACGGCCACGCCCTGAGGTAGTAACAAATTACGAAAAACCCTTCCTATTAGGGTAATTACAACCATCCCTCAACTATGAATCTTCTTACACGTCCACCCTTGCGGTGTCAAATTTAGTGGAATCTTCTAGATTATGTGGAATATTCTCCAGTTTGTATCTGTTTTCCCCCATTTGAGCTCCACATTTTGAAACAAGATGATCATCAGACGTGTCTCTTGGCTTGTAAATATCAAATTGTGGTGCATCAGAAACTACATATTTGCACAAAACGAGTACAAACTAGAGAACATTCCAAGGAATTTAGAAAAATATGTTGAATTTGACACCACAAGGGTGGAGATGTAGGAAAATTCATAGTTGAGGGGTGGTTGTAATTACCCAAACATGAGGTTTTTTTCGTAATTTGACCTTACCTCAGGGGTGGTCGTAATTTATCCTAATTTAATATTGGGAATCTACCATCTATTTTCTTAATTACCAGATTATATCTTATAAATTAGAATGTACTTGCATACATGTTATTTGGTTGGTAAAACGTTGTGCTCTAGCATTTAGGTTAATAATGTTTACTTTTCTTTTTTTAGTGGTAGAAAAACGGCTCATTTTATTCAGCAATTATTAAACGTATAAGTGGAACCAGTACCTGTATAACCGACTCTGTGAATATCCCGAAAAGCAGCAATTATAAAAAAAAAAAAAAAAAAAAAAAGAAAAAATCCCGACTTCTATCTAGAAGCTATCTGAAACAAATGCCGACCAAGGATATTTGAGAGCAAACGTATATACCAAAGCCATATAAGGCATTTCTTCTTTTTTCATGCCATTTCGTAATTTATTTCCATTTAAGTAATGGGAAGGTAATAAAAATCCCTGTGTAGGATAAATTTGACGAACATCCAATATCTGTTGTTGTACATCACCTTTACTTCTTTGGATCAGCTTGCTAGACTGTTCAAAACCGCATGCTAAGTTTGCTTCTTACGTTTATGTCACTAAAATATTGTTGCCTCAATTCATATATCGTTTGTGTTTTAGACGCTTTATTTTGGCAAGTGGCGTTCAAGGCATGGAGGGGTTTCGACAAAGATGGAGTCTTCATGGTCGCCTTACTGATACAAAGTAATTCCGTTTTTATATTTTCCGATTAAATACAAGATTGATAGACTATATATGCATTCAATATTTCTAGATAGTACATCACGTCGTATATTGTTGTAAATGGTCTTGTAGGAAGCGGCTCGAAGCCCTGAAGCAAGGAATGGAGAATAAAAAGAAAGATGAATCAGTTGGAGAAATAACTACAAAAAAGAGATGGTTCTTATGGTGAAGCAAGGAAGGAATATTCCTTAATTTGAGGTTAATTTATTTTCTCACCTCCATGCTTTCGTAGCTCAACCAAGTCTTTTGAAATATGATTTTCATTTATTATTTATTGTAATATTTGGATTGAACCTTCAATCTCCAGGAAGTCGCCTCGCATAAACAAAAACGTTTTACAAGAGTACGAACTATATAAAAAAAATGGCTCCTTTATACTGTGAGATTTTGATATGATGATGAAGTTTTCTTTAGATATTTTTTTTCCGGATATATCTTTTGGGATTGACGACGTTTGTTTACAGAAAAAGGGGGAGACCATCTCCGAGGTCTCCGAAAAATGTTACAACATTTTTTTGCTTAATATGTTATAATCATGAAAAAAATTGGGTCATTTTGCTCTTTCTGGCAACCACATCGAAACAACGACTTCTCTACTCTACTTCGCCCCGATGCTCGTTTGCTCTTTATTGACTCTACAGTAGTGTTGTGATTTAGGGAAAATTAGCTAAATGTACTTTGAGTATTTACAATAATTAGTAATAAGGACAAATATTTTTTTCCCACCTATTTTACACTAATTTCACTGACCCTCTCTCTATCATACTCTCCATCTTTCCGAGATTATTTGTTTCTTTGGAGTGTTTTTTTTCTTGTCCCAAATTATTTGTCATTTTAGAATTCCAGTAAAACATTAATTGCATTTTTACGAATTTTGCCCCTTATGACTCTTAGTTAGGGTTATTTCTATGCTACACCCAATGAAGGTTACACCGGGTGAAGTTTTTATGTTGATCGACATATATCAATGTGGATGCGTGAGTTTGTGTGCTTACGAATGGTAAAGATTTACTCGGTGTATTTCACCAGGTGTTACATAGTATAAATTGATAATTATATAGTTGAAAAATAAACAATGACAGTTATTTTAGTGTTTACTGTGTGTTTTTCTTTACAATCTATATATATTTATATAAAACTTGTGCAATTAAAAAAAACATATAATATAGAAGGAAGGAACGTGGGACTGAGTCTTAATTTATGTACTCAATAACAGAAGGCCACTAATTAATGTCCAAAATAATTAAAGTCGAAACCAAGCGAGTTGTGATTATGTTAAACAAGCAAACCGGAACATCGATTCAAGAGATAGATTTCAAAAGTCCTTAAACATTTCGAGCACGTTTGTTTATGTTTCCAAAATTATTTCTGACTTCTATACTATTCGATCATGTTTGTTTAAAAGAACTTTACCTATAAATACAAACTTTTTCCTATCAAAATTTTTAATGAAAATATAGGGATGACCATGGGCGGGTTTGAGGTGGATTTTGCATTCCCCGCCTCCGTCCCGTTAAGAAACCCGTTCAACCCGCACCTGCCCGGTCCCGCCTCGTAACGGGTCTGAAATTGACCAACTCGCATCCGCCCCATAGAAAACCCGCAGGTACCGGCTTCGCCAAAAAACCCGTGAAAGCTGAAGAAAAAGGTAAATAAATAAATTAAAAAAAAAAAAAAACTATCAGTAGTTAGTAGAGACTACATTAATTAAAAAAAAACTATTCTACCAAATATCAAATCCAAATCAGCTAAGAAATAATACCAAATCAACTATCCGATAGGCGATAATACTACATCCAACAATTCAACATACTACAAATAAAAAATATTACCAACTATGCATTAAATTTAAGTACACATGTTTGTTAAAAACTTCAAAAATAGACTAAAAAAAACTAGATTATTTTGTTACTAGTCATCAATCAGATCCACTTCATCTCCACCATCATCAATGTCGTCGTCGGCTTCACCATCAAAAGCATTTTGCATTACTTCATTAAGTACCGTTTGCAAAGATGTACCTACAACAATAAAATTATGAATAAATTAGCACATAAAATAAATTATATAAGAACACAAAAGCAAAAAAGATAATATGAATAACTTGCCTTTAATTTGAGCCACAACCAATTTTGGCAACACATTAATGCCTCCACGGTCTTCGAATGAAGCTTACTATGATGTGAACTAAATAATCTACCACTTGTGCTAAAGGTGGACTCCGAAGCAACCGTAGATACGGGAATGTATAGGACATCCCTTGCAATCAATCTCAAAGTTGAGTACTTCGCTCCATTATTCTTCCACCATGACAAAATATGAAATCATTACTCCATGGTAGAACATCATCCTCTAAGTAATGATCCAACTCCACTTTCCCATTTCCAACCCCTCTTTGGCTACTAACAAGCATATCATAATGAGAAAGAAAGTCGCCTCCCACGGGTTGATTATCATCCGTAGAAGACAAGGACACAAGTGCATCACCATCCATTCTCTTGGAGCTATACTCATCAAGCAAATCATAGAAAATGGTTTTAATGTTTCTTATCTCTATAGAACCACGATCCCCGTAAATTTTCTTAAACAAATAATCCACTAGCTTCATCTTGAATTGTGGATCCAATATCGCCGCAAACCCCATGATACCGTAGATCACATCCCAATAAGAATCAAATTTTTCGAACATGCTTAATGCCATATTCTTAATCACATTATTTGTAGAAGTCGACCACTCATTTAATGAATTTTGATTTGACAAACTTGAGGAAAATAAAGGTTTGCGGTAGGACAAGTAGTGCCTATAAATAACCGACTTACTCTTAAAACAACTCTAATTTTTGACAAATGACACTTGCTAAATTACATTCCTCCTCACTTGGCATGCAATTATATGACGACTTCCGTTGGTTCAACCGAAAAAAGACATCCTTGTACACTAATGAAATAGAAAACATCAAATAAGTTGAATTCCAACGTGTTTTTGCGTCAAGAACTAACTTTTTGGTGCATGAAACACGAACCTGCCGAGCAACTTCCTCAAATTTTTGTCTTCTTTTTGTTGAACCAGTCCAAAATACAACACTGTCACGTATTTTTTCAATGCAATCTTTAATAATCACCAAACCACCTTGAACGATCAAATTTAAAATACGAGCAACACAACACATATGCAACAGTGGAACATGCGAGAATAGTGAGTTAGATGGAAGATTTTCAGAGATAATTCTTACCATGGCATCATTAGTGGTGCAATTATCAACAATTAAAGTAGAGAGTTTGCCATCAACATTCCACTCTAGGGAACAATCGAAAAGAACCTTTGAGAGACTTCACTGATGTGTCTAGACGCAACGTAAATTAACATGCCCATGTATTAAAAATCAGTACAAGTTATTAGAATCATTTATGATCTAGAAAATACAAAAAAAAAAAAATTAAAACTGTAAAAAGTAATACCTTAACACACGGCTGTGTAAGGTCCAACATTCATCAATATAATGACCAGTGACAGCCATGAAACCTCATTTCCTGTTGCTTGAAGTCCACATATCAGTGGTGATTGCAATTCTACATGCATTTTTTTCAACAAAACACAGAATCTTCGCTTTTTTCGGCCTCGTAAATCTTAAGTATATCTCTCTTGATTGTGTTCCTAGAAATCATTTTGAATAATGGTTGGAGAGCAAGAGAATAGTTTCTAAAGCCAATATAAACCACAATGCTTAGAGACAACTCATGTAAGATAATCGTACAAGCAAGTTCCCGTCAAGTTACTTCTTGATCAAATTGACCAGATTTCAAGACCATCTTACCATCGACCTTATTTTGCTCATTAACCAATACTTGTTGCCTCGTGTCTCTAATGTCTTTAAACTTTCTTTTAATACACCGTAAAGTAGAATCATCACGTAAATGAGTTGTTCCATCTGTACTTTTTGCAACAAGACATTTCTTATAATACTTGCATTGTGCTTTTGGATCTCATCCAACTGTTACTCTGTCAAAGTGCAACCACACATCCGATGTTTTTCTTCTCTTCACAATAACCACATTCTCATTTGTGGTGTTGGGAGTAGTTGTGCTTGGAGTAGCTTTGCTAGGAGTAGTTGTGCTAGGAGTTGTAGGAGTATTTATTCCTTGTGGAGATTCCTCTGTACTTTCATCTAGCAAGGGATTAGCATGAGATGAACTCGTTTCTTGCGACATTCTAATTCAAAATATAAACCTGAAAAATTAGAAACAAAAAATTAGAGATAAAGAACATAAATAAATATAAAATAATCTAAAGAAATTAAAATTAGGGGTTTTGATTTTTTTTATAAGAACGAGAGAATTGAACGAGAGAAATTACTGTACCACCGGTAGTCAACGCCGGAGTAGAGAGAACGGCAGCAAGGCTCGGAGTTGTAGTTGACGGGCTGGTGAGTGGTGACTCTTGAAGAACAGAAGAAGAAGTTTTGAGACGTGAAAGAAAATTGAAAAAATGGGCTGGTGAGAGTGACTCTTGAAGAACAGAAGAACTTCTGAGAAGTAAAAGAAAACTGGAAAAACGTAAGAAGCGGCGTGCGGAAGAAAACGAAGGGATAACAGATAATATCTAGGGTTTCTAGTTTAAAATATAATATATGGTGTGCCCAGCAGGGTTAAA